TGTTTCTAAAGGTTCAAGCTGTGATACGTGACTTGTATTTCATATAGGTCAGTTAAAATGTGAGGGTTATGTTTCTAAAGGTTCAAGCTGTGATACGTGACTTGTATTTCATATAGGTCAGTTATAATGTGAGGGTTATGTGTCTAAAGGTTCAAGCTGTGATACGTGACTTGTATTTCATATAGGTCAGTTAAAATGTGAGGGTTATGTAGGAAGTTCTTTTTTTTTCCAAACTGTTGGAAGAACTTAGGACAGGAAAATGATCAAATCTCAAAAAGTGACTTTTGTTTTGTGTAAATGCCACACAAATTAGTTTCTCTTTAACACATGGTAAAATAGTTGAAAGTGAACGAATTGATGGCTTAAAAAAGAAATTTTAGAGATTGAAAATATGTTATTAGAGGATTGAAAGTTACTTTGAACCAATGAAATGTGTGCATTGTTTTTGTTAAATCTTATTTATGAAGTAACTGAGTGCTCTACATAAATTTCATGACTCAGATATACATTAATACTTATTTTAATCCAATTAGCTGCATTTGTTTATATGAATCGTAAAAACATTTCAGCCAGTCACCTCTGGATTTCGAAGTTTCTTATTTTTAAGATATTTTATGATTGTTAGGCATAACAATTTTACTAAATTATGCATAGTTATTTAAATACCTTGTATTTGTGTTGACTACTTAGATATGAGTTTTGTTTCTATAATTAGAATTATTTTATTATTTTCTCTAAATTGTTTAAATATTTTTTTATGTATGTTAATTATGCATATCTCATCTTTCAGCTGTACCAAAACGGTTTTATAAAAATGTGTCGATTTCCCAAATAAATGGTAAGTCTTTTATTGATTTATAAATATATCTGGGACTTGTATTGCTATAAAAATGTATGTTGAGGTTATCATTAAATATGAAATATACATTGTGGTTATCATTACATACAATTACAATTTTATCTGTCTGGTGTGTCATTGCTAAATGCCAGAATAATTTGTAATTAAAGTGTCATCAGAGCAACCAAACAAGTAAACACTGGTGTATAGATTTAATGATTTCTTTTTTTACTGTTTAATGTTTTAGTAAATAAATGGAATAAAGAAAAAAATTCTTTAATTTTTCTTGTGCCTTTTTTTTTGTAGCTGAAACTATGTTAATGCACTAAATAAGTTCGGGTTTTATCTCTCATTAAACTGGATGTTCTCCTATTTTCCTACCTATCGGGTTTGTGATTGTCTGCTAAAGAAATCTGATATTGTGTCTAATATATATATAGTGCAAAAAATAATTTCTATAGTTTTAATTGAATAACTAATTTAAAGACATTTCAGATTGTTTAACCCTTTCACATTGGGTACGTCAAAGTGCTCATGTCACGATGTTACGTCTCCGTTTGTTAATTGATTTTCCGTAACTTCGTTCCGATGAAACTTTAGCGACACAAGTCCTTACTTAATAAAACTGGTTTATTCTTTCCGAATACAACTTTACGATACACTTATTTTCAACAGTCGCTCTATAACAAACGCTAATCAACTAACGTCAACAATACTTCTGACTGCGGTTCAATTACTCACTATCTACACACACATTATTCCCGTCACGTTGTCACCCTCTTTTTATATACCAGACTACCCTATATCTAGTAAATGCTAGAGCATTTGCCAAGGTACAGGATAGTTCTAGAAAATAGGTGGCGCCACACCAGTCACGTGACCACGATGACGCAACAACGACATTTTACAGAGTTACCTTAAAAAGTTACTTAAAGTACTTTGTTATCAATGTATATGAATAAATGTAACATCAAAACATAGTTAATAAATCAAATTTAATATTATACAAGTTTTAAGTTCTTAGTTTTATAAGGAAATATTTAAAACATCCTTAATCTCTTAGTATGAAAGTTGTGATATTTGCTCTCTACGGCTTCCCTCTTCTCTAATTCTTTGATAAATTACCAATAGTTATCTCCGATGTTTTATACTATATTATTCGTAACCAACAGAAGACAGGTTTTTATCTTTCAAATGATGTATTATGTTGTTTTCTGCAGAGGGGATTGTCTATTTCGTCAAATTTTGTAGTCTACAAAAGACTTGTGATGTTTACTGAAAGCTTGCCAAATTTTGTGAAGCTACATTAATTATTTTCAGTGTTATAATATGTATACCTTCATGGTGTTTAAAAGGTCATGTAAAATATGCAAACTTCTTGCAAAAGGCTTAAACAAAAGAAATGTTAATAATTTCCATTCACTAACACGATTCCGAACCAGGTTATATACACGTGTGTGAGGGGGAGTCTTAATTAGACTGGATTGGCATTATTTTTCAGGTTCGAATGTTCTTATTGTGTTTCTGTTGTTTTTTCAGCTGTCTCTAATGTCGCAGGTTCACTTTATTGAAGTGCACGGTTTCCCACAACATCTCACATTCATTACGACCAGTGTTTCTCAATTACAGTATTCTGTTCTTGTTTGTTTTAAAAGTTAATTCAGTAATTGACATTAGTTTCTTACTTTATGTGTCCACCCCTTGACCTTCTGTCCCAGTCTCTGCACTGGAATGTGGTGTTTGTTTCTAGTAGTGCTCTGTTGTCCTGTGTTGTTGTTTTTTATCTTAAATTGTTATTGGTATTATCAGGAAATGTATTCTTTTTTGTTTTATCTATATAAATTGATTTGAGGGACAAAATAGATTTATGCATTTTATTCTGATATCTTCTTACTGGACTTGTCTTGAAAAACGATACTTTAATTAATCCAAAGGTCACTCTCTTGGTAGGGAAGATAAAAACTTGTGTAAAATCAAGTCTCTTAAAGTCGTTTGAGTTTGTAGTAGATTTTCCTCATTTAAGAGAAATAAAGGGATTAAATTTGATCCAAAATGATCTCACAACCAGCTTGATCCGTAGTGGATAAAGGAAGTTACCCAGTGATTAGTGGATAAAGGAAGTCACCCAGTGACTAGTGGATAAAGGAAGTTAACACAGTGACTAGTGATTATCCTAAAGAGAGAAAGTATTTTTGTTCAAAACTGATAAAGTTGGGTTTGAAATCATCAGTTATTTCAATGATAAATAAACAGAAATTTAAAGCACTAAGTTGTATTTAGTTATGTAAGAAAATACATTTTATTTAACAAATTTTCTCTGATTTTATCATTATTTAGGGAAATATGAAGTTAACCTGGATCAGAAAAAATTAAAAACACCGTTGGGAAGAGTTTTTCAGGTGCCTAACGAAACCCTTGCCTTGGCCGTGGCTAACGAGTGGGATGCCCAGAAAGAGAAGATACAACCTCATACAATGAATATTGTAAGTAGTTGTGATTATTTGCATTTGTAAAGTTACAAAGTGTATGTTTGGGTAATTTTTATAAAAGTTTTAGAAGCTTAACTTGATAGCCTATGCTCTTTACTACATTATTTGAAATGTATATGAATTCAAGTAATATCTTATAGCATTATATCCTTTTTAACAATTGGTTTAAGGATACCATTGAGCACTAACCAAGACAAGAACAAAATCCCATTGATGAAGAGATATTTTTTTTCTCCACTTGGTACCCATTTTCAAATACATACTTTTTTGTATAATATTGGTTTACCTTCTTACATTTTGTTAAAAGTGCTTGAATATCTTTAAACTTCAAAAACTTGATACTATAAGTCATCTAATGTCTCATATAAGGTCCTCGAATACTTTAAATTCACTTTGTTCTTATTATATAGGGGCATGGCCATGTGTCATAAATTTATCTTTCCGTGATTAATAACCATTTTTCTAGCTTCACATGTTAAGTAATAGTTAATCACTCGCACATTTTGTCAGTTGTTCATATATTCTGACAAACGTAATCAAACCAACCGTATACTGTGTTTTTTTTAATGCAAAATATGCTGAAGTTCACAATAATAAGTGTTTTTAAATGTCCCTGAAACTTATTTTTTATGTTAATTTTGTTTTAAGTGTCCAAATCCCTGCATTTGAGTATTCTTTAATAAAGATGATGATATATTTTCCCCTCTTATAGTGTTAAGTCATGTGTATTATGATAGCCACGTTTTATGTAAATCTTCCCACTTGTTAGAAATAAACAATAAATATATGTATGTGTACAAGTACAAATGTTCCTAACAGAGTTAAACTGGTCAAATTGACATACCTATAATTGGAAACAGGAACCTTCACTTCCATGTGTGGGTTACACAATGATACAGAAGTCCAGAATCGATGTGCAGTGGGAAGCTTATCCTAGCTCTTACTGACATTTATAGTCCAGTAACTACATACACTAAATATCATGAATACTGAAGCACATAGTTACTATCGAAGAGTGGTTTTTTTTGTAGTTTTTGAGAAAGATAAACTTTAGTATGCAATGTCTATGACTTAAGTACATATATATTATCAATTTTATTCAAAGTTTCTGTCAAAGAATGTTCAGAAAAACATTTGTGACCTGGATAACAACTACTGTTTTCATATCCTGTGAGTTAAATTTATATATATATATTTACCCAGGTCACAAATGTTCTTCTGAACATCCTTTAACAGTAGAAATTTAACTCACAGGATATGAAAACAGTAGTTGTT